TCTTTGTGACAGCCCTTGGGTAGAAATCTTTTATCTTCCTGCTAAAAATGTGCTTCCTGTGTAACTTATTGGATTTAGGCTGGCATGAATCTTTTTTTCCTCTCTACATTTCCAAGTCAAGCCTCACTCTTCTCCAAGGTTTTCCTCTCATTGTGCTGCTGCAATTTCCAATCATAACCATTACTACCATATCTATTGTCAAAACAATTCTTTAGATAACAGATGTCTGTTTACTATTGTTGGAAACCAGTGTAAAAAGGTTTTATCTATCACCAAAGCTTGCTATCCGCAGATCACAAAATCTTGTAATTTATCTCAAAAATTAGGCTCTGTTAAAGATTCTCTGGAGACTTCTGGAAAATTTTTAACAGTATCTATTATAAGGGCAAATCTGTTATCCCTACTCTCCTACACGGTTCATATTTTGTTACCTCACCAAAAGACAAAGCTAAATTGTTTGCTAAGAACTTTTCATCACTCTCATCTCTTGATTCCACTAATCACATTCTACCTGATATAGCTGACAAACAGGTTGATCCATTACTTGACATTCGTATCACTCCAGTTTCTGTACCTAAAGTGATTTCCTGTTTAGATTCTTCTACAACTTGTGGTCTGCGCAACATTGTTGTTACAGTGCTGCAGAAGTGTTTTCCGGAGCTGTCGTTATACTTTCAAAACTATTTAACAAATTTTTATCAAAGTCTTGTTGTCCAGTCTGCTGGAAAGCGACATCTGTAATCCCTATTTACAAAAATTCTGGAGAGCGATTTGACTTGTCTAACTACCATCGCATTAGTCTTCTTTCTATTATAAGCAAGGTCTTTGAGTCTTTAATTAATAAACACCTAATTTCTCATAGTGAGTCTAATAACTTTCTTTCTGATCGTCAATATGAATTTCAATCTACTCGTTCTACTACTGATTTGTTAACGGTAACAATTGATAGGTATTATTGTATATAAGATAGATATGGAGAGGTTAAGGCTATTGCTCTAAACATTTCTAAAGCTTTTGATAAAATTTGGCATGCTGATCTTCTCCATAAGCCTCTTATGGTGTATTGGGTATCATCTTTAAGATTATTGAATTCTTTCTTACTAACCATAGTATAAAAGTTGTCCTCGATGGACAGCACTCTTCTTTATTTCCTGTAACTTCAGGGGTTCCACAAGGCTTTATCCTTGGCCTTATATTTTTTTAATTTACATTAACCTAAAATTCTCACAATCTAAGGTGGCATTGTTTGTTGATAATACTACCATTTATTCTTGTTTTGATAAGAAGCCAACATTTCCTGATTTCTTAGAGGGGCATTTAAGGGGCATTCATCTTTTTCAAGCTTTTCTTTTTTTTTTCAGGCTCAAGAAGTAAGAATTAATCCTCTTCTAGGATTGTCTTTCTTATGATATTTCATGGAAACCATATATCAAATCCTTTGCTAAATCAGCATCTTCTAAGGTTGCATCTCTTTATTGTGCTTGCCACTTTCATACTCCAGACAAAGTTCAAAATTACATTGCAAATGGAGTTGGACCTGCTCTTGCAGCCAAACTTCAACCATTGTCACATTGTCTTAATGTTGCTTCTCTATCTCAATTCTATAAATACTATAATGGGCACTGCTCTAAAGAGATAGAATCTTTTGTGCTATCCACTAAAATTCATTCTGGTGTTACTCGTCATTCAATTGAGTCTTATCCTTTTTTTTTTGACTGTTCCATAGTGCTCCAAAAATTCTTATTTGTTTAGTTTTTTTCCTTAAACATGAGTTTTTTGGAGTTTGCTCCCTTTTTTCTTTCCTGATTCATATAATTTGCAATCTTTTAAGTTGTCTTTTAATCGTTTTCTTGTTTTATAAACTTGATCTTTTCTCTTTAAGTAACTTCCAAATTTAATAGTGGTTGCTTGCAGCCTTGTTGGAAGTGAAGATGTTAAAAAAAAACAAAAACAAAAAACTATTATTGACAATACTGAGATCCTTCGATCCAATTGAATTTTCTTCATTTGATAATAATCTTATTAGATTTTTTGTTTCTACTTTTTTTTTTCTGACGCAGTAGCATCGAGACAAAAATTAGACCACAAAAATCTTATTCTAAAACAACATTTTAATTTAATGAAATAGAAACCAGTATGTAAGTCTAGTATGTTGAAAATCAATGGCAGTGTTTTTTTCTTGCCTTCATAGCTGCAAATCGGTCAATAACATTTTTTAAATTTAATTGAGCTACTATTTCTGCTTCAATAGCTAATAGACTTAGTGCAGACAAACAGTCTCGTGCTATTGTAAGAATTGATAGATCTCTAAGAATGTTGGAGGTAAACTAAAAGTTGATATAGTGTTTGGTAAAGTTAGCTTTTATAGTTCAGTTATATTGCAATAATAATTAGCACGAAGTAGAGTAAAATAAGATCTGCAGGTATATTCTGCATTAATCAAATTAGTCATATGTTTATACAAAAGGTTTTTCATTATGATGATATTTCATTATGATATTTTGCCATTTCTTACTTTCATTCATACTTTCATTCAGATTTTAATGTGTCTAAAATTCAAATGAAAAAATATGTTTTTTTTTATTTTTGCGATCTTTCAAATTAAAACATGCTAAATTCTTTTAAAACCATTCCTTGATTTATAAATATAAATTTTATAAATCAAAAAGTTGCATGAACTGGTTGGGGCATCTAGGTGTAATACTCTGCTTTTTGCAGATATATTAATAATGTGCCACTAATCTAATATCTGGTGAATAAACAAAGATGTTTCATGAGATTCTTTTAATTTAAAAAAGCTATCACTTTTTTATTGATTATTCCTTATTTTTGATAGTTATAATTTATTTCATTGCTAAAAGTTTGTTCCTGGTAATTAGTGTATAATCTTGTTTAAAAAATAATAATTTTTAAGTACTTTAAAAAAAAATTTTAAATAAATAATTTTAAGTGCTTTAAAAAAAAATTTATAATTTAGTTTTTGGGTTTTTATGCTCTTGGTAAAAAATGTATAAATTAATTTTTAGTGTCTATGTTCTTCAACCATCATTAATATTATTATAAAATATTGATAAAAATGTTTGTATTTTTGGAAAAATTTATAATTTTTATTACTTATGATTTAAAAAAAAATATTCTTCTATTTTTAAAAGAAGTATTGGGTTCAGTTGTCTTTAAACTCTGTTTCTAAAAAATGTATACACGCTATTATATATTTTCATTTCTTCTTTAAAGATTGTTACTATTCTAAGCTTTCAAACATGCAGTTATCAAATGTCTGTGCTGTGTTTCAACCCAAACATGCAGTTATCAAATGGCTGTGCTGTGTTTCAACCCAAACATGCAGTTATCAAATGGCTGTGCTGAAAATGTTTATGAGGGTTTTTTTAATTAATTCCAAGAGCCTATCATTTATAGATATTACACCTTTTGAGTATATTAGGTGTTGACAATTTTGTTGTCAGCAATTGTTAAGTAAAGAAAAAAATTTACCCTAAAGATACTAAATTCTAGTAATGTCTTGTAAGCCAGCAAAAAGATTTCTTCTCTAGAATTCTATCAACATAGATCACAAAAGAAGGGAATTATGTATAATAAAGATGTCATTTAATTGATACTGCTGATAATCTTTGAAGATATCAATGGAAAAAGTATTTCAATGCGTATTTAAACTTTGATTTACAAAACTGTTAGATTTGTACATAAGTAAATTTATACAGTTATTTTTTTTTGTAGGTTTTTGATTAAGTTTGAAACTTTTAAAATATTAAAATGGATTTAAATGACTTTTATAATGATATATAACATATTATATTTATTTATTTATTATTAATATCTTCACTTTCCAACAAGGCTGCAAGCAATCACTATTATAGTTGGAAGTTACTGGAAGAGAAGAGATGAAGTTTATAAAGAAAGATAACAATTAACAGGCAACTTAAAAGATTGCAAATTATATGAATTAAGAAAACAAGAAGAAGGAAGCAAGTTTCAAAGAACTGATGTTCCAGTGAAAAAACTAGAGAAATAAGAATTTTTGGAGCATTTAGGAACAGTCACAGTAAAATAACGAGACTTAATTGAATAATAAGTAACACAAGAATGAATTTTAGTAGATAGCACAAGAGGCACTAACTCTTTAGAGCAGCGCCCATTATAGTTAAAATAAACAAGAAAGAGAAACAACATTATGACTATATATATATATATATATATATATATATATATATATATATATATATATATATATATATATATATATATATATATATATATATATATATATATATATATATATATATATATATATATATATATGTATGTATATATATATATATATATATATATATATATATATATATATATATATATATATACATATATATATATATATATATATACATATATATATATATATATACATATATATATATATATATATATACATATATATATATATATATATATATATATACATATATACAGTATATATATATATATATATATATATATATATATATATATATATATATATATATATACATATATATATATATATATATATATATATATATATATTTATATATATATATATATATATGTATGTATGTACAACTTTTAAGTAGGAAAGATGCTGAAGCAAATTATTGTACAGATTTCTCTACCCACAAGCCATTAGAATTTTCTCTTAGCTTATATTGTGACGATATAGAATTAGCTAACCCTATTGGCATACACAGAAAACTTCATAAACTAACTATTTTCTATGTTCAATTGCATTCCTTGCCATCATATATGCGTTCTACTTTAATATTCTGATACCAAAACATCATTTTTTACTTCATTTTGTTGGACAAATGCATCGATTTGGTCCACTAAAAAACCAATTTTGTATGACTTTTGAAGCAAAGCACAATAAAATAAAAAGTGTGCGATGGCATAACTTTAAAAACATTGCCAAATCAGTTTGGCAATGTTTTTAACATTGCCAAACTGATTTGGCAATGTTATTAATTTATAGATCAAGGACGAATTTGAAAGAATGGGCATTGTTTCCAAAGAAGCTGCATTAGAGAGGCTATTGCAAGTTGTTGAAAAGTTGTATCCCGGTTCAGATATTCCGTCTGCCCTAATACGATTTCATAAGAACACTACCAGAAAAGGAGTGTTGTGTCCGATTGTTATTGCTAGTGTAAGTTTAAAATATAGTTGTTTCTTTTTGGATTTTTTAAATTGTTATTTGTTTTTGTAATGTTATGTTATTAAAATAGATTTAAATTTTTATTTTTAAACAAATTTTTAGTCTGAAGATAACGTCTCTTCTCCTGGGCCGCAACTCATTTTAGGAGAGAAAATAACATTTGTTGATAAAGGGAAAGTAATTGCGATTGGTCATCGGCATAATGATTCCCTACACGTGCTTCAACTAATTGCTTATTATTATATTATGGACTTGTCGTACCCAAGATCGTTTGGGGGAGTTTTGGGACTGTTGCAGCATTACGTCTTGCAAATACCATTTGCTTGTACAAATAAGCTTTGGTTAAAAAAATGCCAAGTCTTGTAAAGGGTTTTGTTGTATTTTGCAACTGTTCAACTCTTCAAATAAAAACATTAAGACAATTTAAAATTAAATATTTATATTTATGTTTGATGATGGTTACTTTTTATGCAAATAAAATATAATTTTCATTATTTCTTTGGTCTTTTTATTTATTTAATTTAAGTAAAGTGTGCCATTTATTAAATTAGTCACGCGATTTTTAGAGATTTCGTATGGCGTGACATTTATATTTTTTATTTGTCACGGGACATCTAAAACACTATTGTGTCGCATGTCACTGAGCCCGATTTAACGCGCCACATTTAAATTTTTTAAATGTGGCGTTAATAATCGGGCTTAGTGACATGCGAAACGATAGTGTTTTAGATGTCCCGTGACAAATAAGAAACTAAGTTGTCACGCCATACTTATTTTTAAAAAGTTGCGTGACAAATTTAATTATAAATGTCACGCCATATTTAATTGCTAAAAGTCGCGTGACTGATTTAATTATAAATGTCGCGCCAAACTTAATATCTAAAAGTCGCGTGACAGTTTTAACTCTAAATGTCGCGGGTTAAATCGAGCTTCGTGACATGGCAATTTTATTAGACAATTTGGCGTGACATTTTTTACAGTGTATATACAGTATATATAAACTATATACAGTATATATGTATATATATATGTACGTATGTACAGTATATATATATATATATATATACATATATACAGTATATATAAATATATATATATATATATATATATATATATATATATATATATATGTATATATATATATATATATATATATGTATGTATATATATATATATATATATATATATGTATATATATATATATATATATATATATATATACATATATATATATATATACATATATATATATATATATATATATATATATATATACATATATATATATATATATATATATATATATATATATATATATATATACTATATATATATATATATATATACTATATATATATACTATATATATATATATATATAAACTATATACAGTATATATGTATATATATATGTACGTATGTACAGTATATATATATATATATATATACATATATACAGTATATATAAATATATATATATATATATATATATATATATATATATATGTATATATATATATATATATATATGTATGTATATATATATATATATATATATATATATGTATATATATATATATATATATATATATATATACATATATATATATATATACATATATATATATATATATATATATATATATATATATATATATATACATATATATATATATATATATATATATATATATATATATATATATATATATATATATATATATATATATATATATTTATATATACTGTATATATGTATATATATATATATATATATATACTGTACATACGTACATATATATATACATATATACTGTATATAGTTTATATATACTGTATATACACTGTAAAAAATGTCACGCCAAATTGTCTAATAAAATTGCCATGTCACGAAGCTCGATTTAACCCGCGACATTTAGAGTTAAAACTGTCACGCGACTTTTAGATATTAAGTTTGGCGCGACATTTATAATTAAATCAGTCACGCGACTTTTAGCAATTAAATATGGCGTGACATTTATAATTAAATTTGTCACGCAACTTTTTAAAAATAAGTATGGCGTGACAACTTAGTTTCTTATTTGTCACGGGACATCTAAAACACTATCGTTTCGCATGTCACTAAGCCCGATTATTAACGCCACATTTAAAAAATTTAAATGTGGCGCGTTAAATCGGGCTCAGTGACATGCGACACAATAGTGTTTTAGATGTCCCGTGACAAATAAAAAATATAAATGTCACGCCATACGAAATCTCTAAAAATCGCGTGACTAATTTAATAAATGGCACACTTTACTTAAATTAAATAAATAAAAAGACCAAAGAAATAATGAAAATTATATTTTATTTGCATAAAAAGTAACCATCATCAAACATAAATATAAATATTTAATTTTAAATTGTCTTAATGTTTTTATTTGAAGAGTTGAACAGTTGCAAAATACAACAAAACCCTTTACAAGACTTGGCATTTTTTTAACCAAAGCTTATTTGTACAAGCAAATGGTATTTGCAAGACGTAATGCTGCAACAGTCCCAAAACTCCCCCAAACGATCTTGGGTACGACAAGTCCATAATATAATAATAAGCAATTAGTTGAAGCACGTGTAGGGAATCATTATGCCGATGACCAATCGCAATTACTTTCCCTTTATCAACAAATGTTATTTTCTCTCCTAAAATGAGTTGCGGCCCAGGAGAAGAGACGTTATCTTCAGACTAAAAATTTGTTTAAAAATAAAAATTTAAATCTATTTTAATAACATAACATTACAAAAACAAATAACAATTTAAAAAATCCAAAAAGAAACAACTATATTTTAAACTTACACTAGCAATAACAATCGGACACAACACTCCTTTTCTGGTAGTGTTCTTATGAAATCGTATTAGGGCAGACGGAATATCTGAACCGGGATACAACTTTTCAACAACTTGCAATAGCCTCTCTAATGCAGCTTCTTTGGAAACAATGCCCATTCTTTCAAATTCGTCCTTGATCTATAAATTAATAACATTGCCAAATCAGTTTGGCAATGTTAAAAACATTGCCAAACTGATTTGGCAATGTTTTTAAAGTTATGCCATCGCACACTTTTTATTTTATTGTGCTTTGCTTCAAAAGTCATACAAAATTGGTTTTTTAGTGGACCAAATCGATGCATTTGTCCAACAAAATGAAGTAAAAAATGATGTTTTGGTATCAGAATATTAAAGTAGAACGCATATATGATGGCAAGGAATGCAATTGAACATAGAAAATAGTTAGTTTATGAAGTTTTCTGTGTATGCCAATAGGGTTAGCTAATTCTATATCGTCACAATATAAGCTAAGAGAAAATTCTAATGGCTTGTGGGTAGAGAAATCTGTACAATAATTTGCTTCAGCATCTTTCCTACTTAAAAGTTGTACAAACTCATCAATTTGCAAAAGGAAATTAATAATGTCAAATAGTAAAAAATTATAACCTTTGCCACCAGCAAACAAAACTTCATTTATTTTCAAAATGTCAAACAAATCATTTAACAATTTTTCTCTTTGATATTTATTACTAACGATATCCACTTGTGAAAAATACTTGTCAAAAGTATGAAAATGCTCTTCTTTTATTAACTTTGGAATATTAAGTAACATATCGGTGGAAATACTAAATATTGTATTGACAGTTGTTGAAGGCACTCTCAACCAACCACAGAGTTTAATTGCAAATGTTGTTTGTGAGTCTATTTTTATCTTTGGAAAAGGTAAAACTGCTTTTTCATTTTTTTTGCAAATGTGCCTTGATACTCCTCTTGTTGATTTAAATGAGGCATTACAAATTTTACAAACAATTTTACATATTGAACTTATACCTAAATGTCTGTCCATACATGCATTATTTTCAGACATAAATCCACAGCAACATACCTTAACTCCAATCTCTAGAGAAAGTGGAGACTGGACATTCATAATTTGTGGCTGCAAAATGAACGATGATTGTGTCGAGCTTTTACTTGTACCAGGAGAATCCCCTGAACTTTCTCGGCTATAAATTGGAACAGAGTTTAACATTTCAAGAAATGTCGGTTCATATGTTACTCTTTGAAATGATGGGTCTGATTCTGAAATATAATTATCATATATTAAAACACAAAATATAATTATCATATATTAAACATAAGATAAGCATAAAGAAAAATATTATTAGTTTAGAACAAACTTTTAAAATAAGAAAAAACCGGACATAATGATTTTAGACTAATTTATAGTAAATTTTTACCAATAATCTTGACAACGATTTCACATGGATTAGGAAGAGCAACTATCATCTCATCTTCTAAGACCATGTCAGAAAACATCAAATCAAACTTATCTGGCAATACATTGATCTTTGAGGACACTACAACAAAACATTATTTTCGTATATTTTATGCATAAATTGGGTAAAACTATGAAAATTTTATTACAAACTATGTTTAACTAAACAACATTAGATAGCAATGTCTTTAGGCATAGAATACAATAATAGTATAAAAATAGCAACTAGATTATCTAATAGATATTATTTTATAAATTGTATTTTAAGCTTATTTTATAATTTTACTTTAAATAAGTAAAATTAATAAATAACTTTGATAATACTATTGTCACAAATTTTGAAAATATATACTGAAAGTAAAATTGTTATCTTAAAATTGTAAAAACATTTTAGTAACGGTAACTATGTATACCTAAAGATATTAGCATACGTATCTATTGTAATTATTACTATTGTGTGTTGGCTTGATTAGTTTATACAATTTGTGAAAAACCTTGTCTGTAAAAATATTTAACAGAAAAAAATTGATTCAATGATTGATTTAAAATGAAGCTGGGTTTTCAACCAATTCATTTCTGCCAAATGTAAATGTTAAATTATGTAAACTCTACAGTTTAGTAGTTAGGATTATCTTAAACAAAAATAAAAACCAAAATAAAAATTAAAAACTAAACCTGTAATAAAATTATCAGAACAAATTCTAGAATAATATAAATCAAAAGATAACTTTTAAGGTTTTATTTCAATAAACCATTTACTTTTAGTGCAATAAAAGTAAATATTTTAGTGCAGCAAAAAACTTCTTTCTGTTGTTGTTGAAATCCTTCTAGTGATTAGAAATTTTGATCGAAATAAGAAAAAATTACTTAAACAAGTTTTGATTTGATTAGCCAAAAATACAACCAAAAAGCAGGACTTAGATGCTATCAAAATTATACCAATAGATAAATAAAATTTAAATATGACATAACAATCAATGTGTATACACATTGATTATTATATACTATTAATTCCATATTTGTTTGTTTCTCGAACTATCATTATTAAAAGTTCTATTTAAAAAAAAAAAAGCTAGTGTGGCCAGGTCACACAGAAACTCTGACATAAATAGCCTAATAAAGTTTTTTTTTAAACAATAATAATTGTAAATAATTGATTGGCAGTCCAATTGCTAATAATAGCAATGTACACAATGGCATTGTGTAAAGATAATTGTTATCATAAGTGTATAACATTGTAAAACGAGCTTGAAATACTCAATAATGCATTAAGAATAAGAATTATAAATAAAGAATAGGTATTCCTAATATATCATTGAAAATACTTATCTCAGATTAATTATCAACTTACTTTACTCTCATAAGTTATGACAATTTATGTAGAGTGCATTTTTAGCTAGTATTTTAAACATTAATAGTAATGTAATAAAAAGTAAAACTCGTTGCAAAGAAATTTTTACCTTTAGATTTCAGCGTGAACAAATTATCATCTACAGCCAAAACCACTGGCATAAACTTTAATAAATAGGAAATTTTAATTATTTTAGACATTTTAGTCACAGAATGAACCACTAAAAATTAATTAATGTGATATTTCTTTTTTTTGCTGCGGACACTCATATGTTTTATTAGTCACGCGACATTTAGCGCGTGGCGCAAAATTTATTAGTAAGGCGTGACATTTAAACAATTATACTCTCTGTGACATTTATAATTGCGTGTAAACTTTGATGTTGCGCAACTTAGATCATTTCTGTGTAAAGATTTAAAAGTGGCATGAAATTTAAACATTTTGCTGGGACATTTAAGAATTTAACGGGACATTTTTTACAGTGTAGTATAGATATTCTATGTATGTATATATTGTCAAATTATGCAAAAAAATTGCACTAAGTAAACATGTAACAAAGTTAATATTAAAAAAATTGCTCAATAAGTAAACATATAACAAAGTTATATCCACTTTTGATTATCCCAACAAAAAAAGCTGTGCTTATGTAGCTTTTATTAAGTTTAATCATAAATGAACAGTTATTTTAAATTTTAACATGGTTAACTAAAATATTTTTATTATTTTTATCTAATGTTCTTTTTAAAGTTTTGTTTTTTTATTGATGTCAATTGATGTTTTTAATCAGATTTTTTAGCTGTTATATTAATAATCAAAAAGTTCTGACTGTATTTCAAATAAATTCTCCTCTTTTTATGTACAAAATAGATAAATATTTCATGTAACTTTAAAACTTTATTTATAAAAAGTCAACCCAAGTATCTTGCTAGATACTCAAATAATAACTATATTCAAGCTAAAACTTACTTCAACAAATTTTTCTTTGCCATTAGAGGTTTCTTAAGTTTAGAATGAAATTCAAAGTGAAACTAAAAGACATTTTTTAAAATGAAAACATGGACTATGTAGATATATATATTGTTTTGAAAATTTTAATCTTTTTTTTAAATATTTATTTGAAAGTTTGTAAATTTAATTTAAAATTGTGTCATTAAAAATCTTTAAATTTAATTTAAAAACGTTTAATGACATGTAAGTGTATAAATGAATTAATAAAATACATAGCATTATTAGAAAACTTAAAATATAAAAACATAAATCCTAAAAAGAATTTTCTAAAAAAGTCCTAAAAAGGCTATCGCTCTGACATTTCTAAAGCTTTTGATAAAGTTTGGCCTACTGGTCTTCTCCATATGGTTTCTTCTTATGGTGTAATAAGTAACATCTTGAAGATTATTGAAAGTGGCATTGTTCGCTGATGATACTACCATTTATTGTTGTTATGATAAGAAGCCAACACTCTCTGATTGCTTGAAGGTGGCATTTGAGCTTGAAAAGGATCTCACTTTTGCTACAGCATGGGCTCACAGTGGCTGATGAACTTCAAATCAGATAAAACCCAATTTTTATGATGTACTTGACGAGTCATCTACCCTTCATCTTCTAAGATTAACTCTTACTTCTGATCTTTCTTGGAAACCGTATATCAAATCCATTGCAAAACCAGCATATCTAGGGTGGATCTTTTGATGATGCCCTTTCTCTTTTAAAAAAAGGGCAAAAACGCATTGTAAACCTAGTTGGACCTGCTCTTGCAGCCAATCTCCAACCATTATCACATCATTGTAACGTTGCTTCTCTTTCTCTTTTCTACAAATGCTATAATGGGCACTGCTCTAAAGAGTTGGCTTCTCTTGTGCCATATACTAAAATTCATTCTTGTGTTACTTGTCATTTAATTACAAGTAACACAAGAATGAATGTCATTTTCCTCAAACATCAGTTCATTGGAACTTGCTTCCTTCATCTTTCTTTCTTGATTCATATAATTTGCAATCTTTTAAGTCGTCTATCAATAGTTATCTTGCTCTACAAACTTTATCTTTTCTCTTCCAGTAACTTCCAACTCTTATAGTGGATGCTTGCAGCCTTGTTGGAAGTTTTTATGTAAAAAAAAAAACAAAAACACTTTGAAGTACCTGATCTCTTTCTTTAGTTTGTCTGACGGGATAAACTAGTTGTAAATGCTGATCCTCATCGAAACGCCAGTAATAATAGACGTGACTCTGAGGAGATGTTTATTACTTAATCACTACACTAATTATGTTTACACATTAGCATTAATGTTTTTTTTCCATTATTAGTCCTTTCATTGTTGTTAGCATATTTTTAATTTGTTGAATGGTTTTTTGTTTTACAAATTTTTGACTGGTTATGTATTTCTTGTATATTTTAGTTTATATTGGTATTTATAATAGATTTTTTTTTTTTTGTTTATATATATATATATATATATATATATATATATATATATATATATATATATATATATATATAAATATATATACATTTTTATATATATACATTTTTTTTTTTTTTTTAATTTATTTTTAATTTTTTTTATTGTTATTATTGTTGAGTACTGTTTTAATTGTATAGCCTGTCTTATTTATTTTTAAATATTCCTCTATTAATCTTTATATTTGTCTTGACAACTGTCAAAATATGCTTTGTTTAATAAATAATTCTCCTTTATTCTAATGCACTTCATTTCTTCCCTCAGGCGTTCACTGCTCGTGTGTGACCATTTGGCGAATTTTATATGCCAAAGTTTTTAAATAACTTTTTTTTCTTTCTTTTGTTTTGATCTCTAGTTTAATAATTTTTTTTTAAATAAACTAATAATTTTTTTTTGCAGAGGCACAATATTTACAATCTTTGAACTATTATGTATTTTTACTGCTTTTTTATTAAAGTATTTAATAACAATATAGTCAGTATATTTAATAACAATATAGTCAGTATGACTATATTGTTATTAAATTTATACTGTTCTCCAAATTGACCTCCAGGTTGAAACTCTCCCCACTCCACTCACAATATAAATTGTGTTTACTATATGCAATTGTAAACACAATTAATATTGCCAAAAAAATCTGAACTAAGTGCTAAATATGTAAATTTTAATAATCAAAACATCATTTTTTGCTTTTTTTCTTCAAAAATTTAAATTAACTTAGCCATTATGGTATTTAAGAAAATCCAATAAAATTAATCTATTATATAATAAAACAACATAATAAATACATTTAAAACACATCTGATATTTTCACTATTGTTAGTTTAAATTGAAATTCACTATAGCAGACTTCAGCTTTTTTTCGGCATAATTTTTGTGTCCAATAGTTCTTTTATAATTTACCCAAGTTTTTTTAAATTTGTAATGAACAGCTTCACCGCATTGTTCTGCATAGTTACCTAAGCTGGTATTATTTTGTTCTACAATAGGGAGAATATGACACACTAAAAAATGTATTTTCCATGATACTGTTAAATTGTAGTCAAAAATATCTTTAATACACAGTTGAAGACTAAAAAATGAACTTTTGAAGTCTTCAATTTTAACAGAAATATCTGTACCCAATTCCAAACCAAACACTGCTGATTTTATTAATGAAAGTATACGCAAACAATCATTTATTGGTAAAATATTAATTGCTGCAGTAATGGTGACATCTCTCTCTAAAACATCTAACAAGGACAAAAATCTGTTAGCATTATTTCCGTCAAAGCCTACACCATGATACCCTCTCATTAGTATGTAATGTTTTTTCAACCAATTTTTAAAAGCTGGCCAAACATACAAAAGCAAAGTACAAAGTTTATCTACAACTCCCATCATAATGTGGAGCTCAGGTGGAGGAACAATGTGTTCAAAAAAAGTTTCTTGATCTTCTTGTAAGTAAATTAAACGAGGATTTACAACATTTTTGTATTCCTGCATTTTTAATCTTTTTCTTCCATCACATACATATTGATCATAACACAAGTCTATGGAGCCTAAAGTTTTAAGTTTTCCTGTTTCTAATGTGCATTCCCTTTCACAATACAAACAGGCATATTTGCCAGAGTGGCTTGACAGTCCAAAAGTACTGTTTGCACACTTTAGATCAAATGCGAGACTAAAATTCACTTCTTCAAGTTTTGGACCCAATAATTTTTGGAGATTGATCAAAAACATTTATAATAACTTTTATATAAATAAATTCTTTCCATTGCATCAAGATTATCGATTCCTCTTTTTTCAGTTATAAATTGAATAAATTCTGTTGTATTTTTGACATAAACTATATTTCTAAAAACTGTCTGATCTCCGTCAACAAGTTTCTCTGTTTTGCATTCATATAAAGTATCTAGAGTTCCTGCAGTTCGTTCATTCTAATATTAATGCTTTATTCTACAACACCAGTTACACTCCTCCGTAAAGTAGAACATAATTTTTTTGTTTTGTTTTTAGAAATTTCTAATACATTTTATAGCTCCATAATGGTTTGAAATGAAATGGTTTAATTTATTTCTTTTGGACTTCATTTTATTCACTCCAACTGTAACTGATAGAAGATTTCCACCCGTAGACAATATGAACTGCTCTCCACTTGCAATGTTTTCACGTTCCATTTTACGTTTTAACAATTCAGGTGCTATTTGTTCTGCATTTTTTCTCCAAGCGACTCATATTTATAATATTGCTTACAGCTTTACTTTTGCAACAATCGTGAAAAACTCCTCTGCCTAAAATTAACAGTGAGAATTTTATAAATATTTTTAAATAACTGAAAATTGAATTGGAAATAAAACAATAAAACTATTAAATCAAACATTACAGTTTGATTCAATAGATAAAAAAGTAAAGGAAAAATACATTTCAATGAACTTTATTTACATTATAAAACCATAATATTTATTATTCATACCAAGATTTAAGTAGCAAACCCCACAGATTTTCTCAGTTGCATTTGAAACATTTGGCTCTGTTTCAACATTTGTCCGGATACTTGGCAGTGAAGAGGTTCGTCTAATAGTACTTCTATTGACCTAAATATATAAACACACATTTATTTATATACATATATATATATATATATATATATATATATATATATATATATATATATTATATAGATATATATATAGATATAGATATATAGATATATATATATATATATATATATATATATATATATATATATATATATATATATATATATATATATATATATATATATATATATATATACGTATGTGTATACATATATATATATATATATACATATATATATATATATATATATATATATATATATATATATATATATATATATATATATATATATATATATATATATATATATATACACGTGTGTAATATTTAACTCATACAAAAGCTTATTTAACTCATAGAGTTTATCAAACTTTATCCAACTGGTTAGAGAGTTTATCAAATATACTTTTGATAAACTCTCTAACCAGTTGGATAGATATGCAGTTTCTCCTTTGTTTAGACTAAACAAATTTCTTCTGCAGTTAGAACAAACAACTGAAAGACAAACATCAAGATCAGAATTAAAGTTTGGCCAAATGTATTCTTGAATTTTTTGACATATTGAGGGTGTTATGGGCGTTAAGCATTTTGATCTGATACCTTTGTTTCTCAAGCAAACTGCACAAGTACACATTTTAAATTCTGCCGCCATGTTGGAAAATATTAATTATATCTGGAAAAAAGCCGTAAATAAATTATTTTAAATACGATAATGGCTGACTTTATTTAAACTTTTGAAGAAAAAAGCAAAAAATGACATATTTTAATTTTCAAAATTTACATACTTAGCATCTAGTTCAGATTTTTTAATAACATAAATTGTGTTTACTATTGCATATGATTGATTTAATTCAAAAAAATTGAGTGGGGAAAGTTTCAACCTGGTGATCAATTTGGAGAACAGTGTTTAGTAAACATGTGTAAATTATGGTAAACCAACTTTTCCTGCACAAAATGCAAAAAAAAAAAAAAACAAGCATGTTATTGATCTCTGATTATAAGCAATTTGATGAGATGGGTTGTATGATTGTTGAAATACTTTATTGTGTACAAATATCTGCTAATATAAAAAAATGAAAAAACTAAAAAGTTAAAAAAACCTAATATAGTTTATTTTGCATGCTAGAGGTAAAAATTATCCCATATTGTGCTGCTGATGAGCTTCTTACAGTATCATTTAACTTTATCAATCATTAAGTTTATTGTGCTGCTGCTGAGCTTCTTTGCAGTATTATTTAGTTTTATAAATCATTAAGCTTATTGTGTTGCTGATGAGCTTCTTACAGTATCATTTAATTTAATAAATCATTAAGCTTATTGTGTTGCTGATGAGCTTCTTACAGTATCATTTAATTTAATAAATCATTAAGCTTATTTTGCATATGAGCTTCTTATAGTATCATTTTATAAATCATTAAGCTTTTAAAGCTTTTGATTTTTGTAAAGTATTAAAATTTTATATAACACTGTGTTAAGATTGTGTAGATAATTTTTTTGCTGGTTCAATAGCCTTGATATAAACTTTAAGGATACAGTATATATAATCAGTTGAATCGTATGCATAATTGGCTTTTCTTATAAATTTTGTTTTTGTAGTTTTAATTTTTATTTTAGTTGATATTTTATTTTAATATATATTCAAACAGTAGTATAGCCAAAAAACATCATTTTATTTTAAATTATTTTGTTCATATCTCCTTACTATTATATGTGTTGTAAACTCTAAATTTTATATTGTTATTGTCATACTGCTATTTAACATGTTTTATTTTATTTTTAATGTACAAAAGTTTCATCTCAAACAGTTACTTTATCACCAAAAAAAAAAAAAAAAAATAATTTGCTACAAATTAACCCTATGATATTTATTATGCTCCATTATGTGTCAATTGGTTACACTTTTAAAAGCTACAATCTCCAAGCATCTTTTTTATGTTAAAATTTCTCAATTGTTTACTCTTTTGAAAATCATTTGGCTTTTTATTATCAGTTTGCATATTTCATAAATGGTCATCATTTGTGTCAAAAAAAAAGATTTTACACTCTTTAAGTTTTTATAAAGCCTCAAGCAAAAATGTATATAAAATGTATATAACATATCATTGGTTCACTTGCTTTTAACACAATAAAAAAAATCTCTCAGCCATCCATATTCTATGTGAGTTCATCAAACTTTATTAGAATATGTATGGCTACTCAAAAATGCTTTAATAATTGAAGAAAACTTTCCAATCTTGTAACATAAATTGTGTATCTTAAATTTTTTGTTACATGATTCAATAATTTCTTTCTTTTTTTTTTTTTTTTGAGATAAATTAATGAAAATTTCCTGTAAGTGGAAATCAGCCTTATAATGTTACGTCAATACATAACATTGTTATATGGGTTAACATGATTTTACTTTTTTTAGTATTTTTAAAAATATTATATATATTCAAAATATTATATATGTATATATATATTCAAAATACTAAAAATATTATATATATTCAAAATATTAGCACATAAAACAACCAAAAAGTTGCGTAAAAAGTTTTTAAGGTATATTGAAAATAACTTATATAAGAGAGTTTTAGATGTAGGTAAAAACATTAAAATAAGTAGGCCAAATACCAAATAGAGTTGACACAAATAGAGTTGACGCAAATAGAGTTGACACAAATAGAGTTGACGCAAATAGAGTTGACTCAAAACATTTTGTTTAATCTTTGATCAAATGATCAAGTACTGTTTTAACTGAAATTTTTTTTTTTTAATTTCTCTCAGAGATTTAAAATAGCTTGACACGAATGTAACTGAATGTTTAATAATATAAAACAAAAAAAACAAAATTTTTTTAAACTTGGTTGTTTACTTATACATTTTAAGATATTTATGCTATACCATAATTTAATTAGGTTTAATTACTTATATATTTTAATCATTTATGCTATACCAAAGGTTGGCAACCCCTAACTTAGGAATTGCACACAGCTCTTTTAACCAAGTTGTGTGGCTTTTTAACAAGTCTGAATTACATAAATTTTAATTTTATTGAAAAAAATAAAGAGTTTTATTTATTATAGTAAAAATATTTTCAATTCTTTTTAAATTTTTTATAATGAGATAAATCAATTATTTAAAGTTGCATAGAGTTATATTAAAATAAAGTCATTATTTATATAGTATTGCTCAAACACGAGCATAGTTCTGTAAAAGTGCATGAATAAAATTTGCATGCAAAAATGTCAACCTTCTATTTAAAAACTATTTTAATGCTTAAATCTATTTAATTCTATTTTAATGCTTAAACATAAATTAGAATCAGAGTGAATACAGTATTGTTAGATTAAAAAATAGAAATTAATCTAATTATGTTAAACTGTGATCTGGCCAATTTTTTAAACAACACTTTGATTTTGCTAAACATTTCTCCTTAAGATTCCAAATGTAAAAGGACATTTCTCCTTAAGATTCCAGTTGTAAAAGGACTTGGTATTAAAAATAGTTAAAGCATTAAATCTTAGCTAATTTTATTTATTATTTGATGAATTTAGATATACTAATCTATTGTTGTATAGAAATGTTGATGAATTTAGATATACTAATCTATTGTTGTATAGAAATGTTGATGAATTTAGATATACTAATCTATTGTTGTATAGAAATGTTGATGAATTTAGATATACTAATCTATTGTTGTATAGAAATGTTGATGAATTTAGATATACTAATCTATTGTTGTATAGAAATGTTGATGAATTTAGATATACTAATCTATTGTTGTATAGAAATGTTGATGAATTTAGATATACTAATCTATTGTTGTATAGAAATGTTGATGAATTTAGATATACTAATCTATTGTTGTATAGAAATGTTGATGAATTTAGATATACTAATCTATTGTTGTATAGAAATGTTGATGAATTTAGATATACTAATCTATTGTTGTATAGAAATGTTGATGAATTTAGATATACTAATCTATTGTTGTATAGAAATGTTGATGAATTTAGATATACTAATCTATTGTTGTATAGAAATGTTGATGAATTTAGATATACTAATCTATTGTTGTATAGAAATGTTGATGAATTTAGATATACTAATCTATTGTTGTATAGAAATGTTGATGAATTTAGATATACTAATCTATTGTTGTATAGAAATGTTGATGAATTTAGATATACTAATCTATTGTTGTATAGAAATGTTGATGAATTTAGATATACTAATCTATTGTTGTATAGAAATGTTGATGAATTTAGATATACTAATCTATTGTTGTATAGAAATGTTGATGAATTTAGATATACTAATCTATTGTTGTATAGAAATGTTGATGAATTTAGATATACTAATCTATTGTTGTATAGAAATGTTGATGAATTTAGATATACTAATCTATTGTTGTATAGAAATGTTGATGAATTTAGATATACTAATCTATTGTTGTATAGAAATGTTGATGAATTTAGATATACTAATCTATTGTTGTATAGAAATGTTGATGAATTTAGATATACTAATCTATTGTTGTATAGAAATGTTGATGAATTTAGATATACTAATCTATTGTTGTATAGAAATGTTGATGAATTTAGATATACTAATCTATTGTTGTATAGAAATGTTGATGAATTTAGATATACTAATCTATTGTTGTATAGAAATGTTGATGAATTTAGATATACTAATCTATTGTTGTATAGAAATGTTGATGAATTTAGATATACTAATCTATTGTTGTATAGAAATGTTGATGAATTTAGATATACTAATCTATTGTTGTATAGAAATGTTGATGAATTTAGATATACTAATCTATTGTTGTATAGAAATGTTGATGAATTTAGATATACTAATCTATTGTTGTATAGAAATGTTGATGAATTTAGATATACTAATCTATTGTTGTATAGAAATGTTGTTGTTTATATAGGGGGGTGTTCTTAAACTTTTTGGTCAATGTATTGATATTAAAACAGTTTTTATCATCAAAAGCTTTTGAATACACAGAGTTTAAGGATAGCAATTGGTTACATAAATTTTATAATTTTATTGCTAGGGTTATGACAGCTTATATTAACAATCTCAATAAGATTGCAAGGACGATACAGTTCAGATGAGGACAGGAAATAAAGTTTATTTTAAAACTCAAATATCTGTCCTATTATAAGAAATTAGTAATCAAAATTTAATTCATTTCTTCTGTTTAAGAAAGAATCAAAATGCAGGAAGTGTTATTAAAACTAACTTTTTTTGGCTGCTACCAAAAAAACAAAAGATTTTTTTTGCCAATTGTTTTACAGAGTTCAGAAATCAAAAAAATAGCTTTGCAAAGTTTAACACCTTATTGTAAATAGCAAATAAATTTAAACCATTCCAAAAAGTTCTTTAGTTCAATTTGAACTTCAGTTAATAGATTTGAAATCAAATATACTTTGCAAACAGAATTAAAAAACTCTGAAAGAAATGCAGAAAAGTGAAAAAACTTTTAACTTTTCAAAAAAAAGATCAAGTTATATTTGAAACATTGAATAATTGTCCTGAAAGTAACAATGAACTTAAGGTAGTGGTATTTAAATTCCTGACAGTTTTCCGATCAACATATTATTGTGAGCAGATATCTAGCTAATTAGACATCGCTATAAATAACTTAAGATTCTTAATGAATATTAGTCTTGAAAACTTTGCTTAACGCAATATACCAAATATTCACTTTTGTTCTGTTCCTGAGTTGAAAGTGTGTTTTCCATAAAAACTTTGTTTCTGTGACCGGGACAATTAAATTTGGAAAATTGTGTGTTTTTGAAAAAACTCTTGATTTGTTGTAAATGCCAAACCTCTTCCTATAATATTCCTGAACTGCTAGAGTTGTCCAGGTGTTTTTACAAAGAGAGCAGCTTAAAGCAGTTTTGTTGCAGTTGTTCAGGGCTTCCTAGGTAATCACAAATCTGAAAACAATGTGGAGTTGAATCAGATTTTCACACACAAATTACACTAAAATAGGATGTAGAATGTCTCTGAAAAGTCCATGATTCGCATCTCAACAAATCCAAAGAGAACAAGAGCGCTTACTCCAAGGAGCAGGGTGAGCGCTTTCATCAAGATATATTGGATTTTGAACATTGTTATCAAGGACAGTATAACGAAAACATTTTAAGGGACTACATTTGGGTGCTACTTCGAGAGAGTGATTCACAGTACAATCGAACATCTAGAAAATCTAGCATCCTTGCAGCTCTTGGTAATTTTTTTTTTTTAATATTTAAGGAAAAATGGCTCTTTACTTAAAATGGGTTGCCAAGCCCTGTGCTATACCATAGTTTAATTAGGTATAATTACTTATTATAAAAAAAATAAAAAATATATATATAATAAATATATTTAAAAAAACTTGTGCTACACCATAGTTTAGTTTAGTTAGACTAATTCTAAAGTTCTCCATTTTAGGATGCTGAGATGGAATCTGTTAAAATGAAGAACAAAATAGATGCATTGAATGAAGAGAAAGAAAGATTGTTGAATGCAGTTGTTGAAGCTGAGTATGTGTTTCTTTAAATTCAACACAATAGTAAATTCTACAAAATTTATTTGATTCATAAATAAACTCTTTGTTACCATTTTTAAGGTTTAAAGGGGTTTTTGATTAATTTATTTAAAAAATTCAAAATTGCATAAAATTATAATTGATATTATGATTTGGTATTTAAAGTTTACCATAAGTAAAATAAACTTTTACTGTGTTATAGTAAAAGTTTATTTTTCTATAAAAACTAAATACTATGTATTTAGTTTTTAATATTTAGTTACTATTTTGTGAGTATTAAAATTTGAAAAAGTTAACAATTTTATTAATTAAAAATTTTTGAATTTTAAATTTTTTTTTTTTTTTAATATTAATTTTGATTAATGTTGAATACTATTTTCAGATATTCAAATTATTCTAGCATAATAATAACAATAATAATAAATAAGAATAACAACTTTATTAGAATCATTAGAATAATTAAACAATATGGTGTAATAATCATTAGAATAATTAAACAATATGGTTTGTTATTTATGAGTCTAAAACCAACTATATAAATATAATAGCATTTATAAATTTTTCTTGTTCTTAATTTTGACACTACAATTGATTTTTTGCAGTGTACTTCTTTATTTAATTGAATTTGAAATAATCAGAAATATAAATAAATTAATAATATATCTGTAAAAGTTTATTAATTTTTACAAAAGTTTTTATTTTCTAGTAAAAGTTTTTATTTTCTAGACGCCAGATTATGCTGTGGGAAAAGAAAACTCAACTAGCTCGGGAAGTTCGAGAAACTGTCTATTCAGATGCTGCTGTTGGAGAAATGCATGCTTTAAAAACAGAGGTTCATCGCATGGAGGTGCGATATGCACAACTTATGAGACAACAAGAAAAAATGGTTCAGGATATGGAAATGACAGTCATAAAAAGAGAGAATATAATTTCAAAGTTTGAACCATGTTTTATTCATGTTGATACATTTTGAAGTTATTATCATATATATATATATATATATATATATATATATATATATATATATATATATATATATATATATATATATATATATATATATATATATATATATATATATATATATATATGTATATATATATTAAATAGAAATATATATATGCCTTTTTTTTTACCCAGAAGTGATGCTCAATCAAAGATAGATCGCAATAAGGTTGGAAAGCCACACATTAATAAAAGTACTTTCCAAAAGAAGTTAAGTGAACTAAAGAAAAGTATTAGACAAGCAAATAAAGAAGCGGAAAAATATGATGAAGGTTATATAAGTTATCTACTTTTTTTAGTTTTACAAAGAAAAATATTAGGGAAAACATTTTATACCACTATAACATAGACATAAAATTATATAATGCATTAAAATAGGCATAAAATTATATAAGGCATTAAAAAGAAAAAGAAAAACATTTTATACCTTTTATAAATAACACATAGGGGCAATTTTAAGGGTGTGTGTTGAGGGGTGAAAAACAATTTTTTTTTTCCAGAATATATCTAGTCAACATTTAACACATTCTAGTCAGCTAGTTCTTATTTTTGATCAGGAAGCAGTAAGCAGATTTTAAGAATTCATCTCCCCTCGCTCATTTTTTTTTCTAGAATCACCCCTGATAACATATTAAAAATAAAAAGAAGAACATCTATACCATAGAATAATAACCTATTTTTATATCACAATATTATAGTCATTTTTATATCACAATATTACAAATTTACAAAGCAATTTTTATAACTCAGTAAAAACTCAGGCAAATAATTTCTGTTATTACAATTACATACAAATACATAGATTAAGAATGTAGTTTTATTTAATATTTTTCAGAAATAAGTTCATCAGTAAGAAAGTGTATTGTTAAATGGAATGTGATACTGGTTGAAAATGACACAAAAACAGTAGCTCATTGACTCCTATTTTGTATTGTATTTTACCTATGATAAAGATAAAAAAATTTAAAAAAAATTCTTTATTTGATTGCTATCAATAATATTTTATTGGAATTTTTTGCAAATTTTAAACAAATGCTTACAGTTAATGGCAAACTCTAATACTGACAAAAATATAAAATTAATTTTTGTTTGTGAAAAAAGCCTATAAGTTATCAAATAATTAATTAGACAACTGTTGCAGTGATACAAGCAGACCTCAATATACTAGCAGATGTTTTTTTTTCAGCAAGCAGGCAAAAAAAATTCAGTTAAACAGTTATTATATAGTTCCAATAGTATAAAATTTCTGGGTCATGCATTTGAAATGCTAAGAGTTTTGTCTGAATCATATGCTGTAGATTATTCTAAGCAAAAAATACTTATAAAATCATAGTTTAACAAACAAAAAATAACGTTGAAATTAAAAAACAACGTTGATATCTGGAAGAAAGTAATTAATAAAATCAAGAGATGTATTAAAGAAATTGTATTTAAACAATTTAATTCATGCTTTGTTTTTGTCAAAAGGGATGTTAGATTTTCCCTTTCTAAGAAGTAATATTTAATGGTATTCAAGATTTTCTCTTCCTAAGAAGTAATATTTGATGGTATTCAAGAAGTAATATTTGGTAGTATTCAAGATGTAATGTTTAATAGTATTGAAGATGTAATATTTGATAGTATTCAAGACTTTTTCATTAGATAATGACGGATTATAGTGTTTAGCAAAACCTTTTTGTATTGATTTCTAGAAAAATCAAAATTTTGTCCTTGGATTAGCTTTTCAGGCAAAACGAACAAATTAATGTTTACAAATTATAAACATCAGAACCATAAGAATTATAATTTTATCTTTCTACTTTAGAAGAGTGGGACATAATTTGCATACTTGCAAAAGCCCAAGAAATTACATAAAAAATGACATTTGTCAGCAGAGAAGGCAGTTGAAAACCATTACACAAGAAATCGTGAAACAATGCAGCCTTGAAATTGAAAGATGTGATAGTGAGCCTTAAGGACAAGCAGAATAATAATAAAAAAAAAGTAGACAAAGCAGACCAAAAAAATTGAATATAAAAAAAGTGTCAGATTATTTAAATTTTATTTCACAACAAATAAGAGAGCTATTATTTACAATGTATGTAAAAGTATGTTAAAGATATTTCTCAGATATTTTTCTTTATTTTTTAATATTTTTCATTATTATTTTATTTTTTATCATTTAATATTATATAAATATTTTTTTTGGCTGGTTAAATCAAAGTTTTCAGTGGTTATCTAATAGTTTATATTATAATGCTTAATGTAGAGTGTTATAAAAATTATTGTTTTAATCTTAATAAGATGGTTTATGAAATTTGCATTTACATATAAATAATATTTTGTATTTCATAGAGATCCGTCAATATCGCGAAGTACAGCAAAGACTGGGGGAAGAGATAGAATCTAAACAATCAGATATACATAAAATTCAGCAATCTGTTAAAATAAACGAAATTGAGTTAGAGCATTTAAAAGATGTCAAATTAAAGGTAATTGCTTTATACAAAGTTTATTTTTATATTACACTATTGAGTTATATTTCATGCAGATTTTCTTTTAATTTTGCTTATTTTTTACAAACGAAATTATATATTTACTATTTAATTGTTATATGTATTTATTATGTTATGTAATCATTATAAAATTCGTTTAATATAGTTTTTATCTTTAATATACAACGTAATGTTGATTGAAATATTTATTCTGTCAAATACATTTGTCAATATAAAATGTTCTTGAGTTCAAGATTTGTATCTTGTGTTTTAAACTTAGAACCTTCAGGAGATTTTAACGAAGCAGCAACGGGCAAAGTATTATTCTTCGTTAAAATCAGGAAAATACAAACCTTTTTGTAAAACGCCAAACACTCTCGAAAAAGAAGAACAAAAACAGTTGTCTGATATGCAACGTTTACAATCCATAATTGAACAATTAAATGTAGAGTATCCTGAGTTGCGGAATTCTTTACGAAAAGCAAGAATTATGTTTAATAAAACGACAAGTAGCAGTAACCTTAAAGAAGATTCTTAAGTCTGTTACTATATTTTTTAATCCATTTATTTATAATATCAGGTTTGAATATTCAATTTTCAAATTGTAATTCGGCGTTTGAATAGCATTTTTTGTTCAAGTAGTTTATTAAAAAAAGGTAATTTAAAAAAAAAAAAAGGAACTCTTCTCCCTGTATCCGATCTTGATTTTATTTTTGATGTTTTCTTCTAAAGATTTGATTAACGAAATTTTCGTAATCGCTTTTCGTCGATGGGTCACAGTTGATACCATATTTTAGAATAGATTTTAATCTTTATTAAACTTTTTATTATTATATTAAAATGTTAATTATTTTTTCATAAACTAAACGAAATACAACCTGGTAAAAAAAATTTTGTAATGGATATAAAGGAAAGACAACATTTGTAGAGAAAAGTTTAATTCCATATATTCAAGATCTGACAAATGGTTGATTTAAATCAATATTTAACTATATATAAAATAGAATGTACAATATAATATATATAAAATGTTTTATTTATTTTTTTAATTTGTGTGTAAAATAATACATAATGTTGAAATTTGGTGCGTAAATGTCGTGCTCGTTTATTTTTATAAAACGTTTTTTTAAACGTTAATTTATTGCGATGCGCATTAAAAGCAGAGCAAAACAAAGTTGCAACATAATTGATTTTAATAATACCTTCTCCCGCCCCAGGAGAGGCTTATAATCATACGCAAATATCAACAAATGATATTTGAAATTATTATATTATATAATTTATGAATTAAACTTGTTATTTAATAGTTCAATGTTTTTATTGGATAATATTTACAAAGTCACCATGGGCAAATGGTACAATTTTTTCTGTTGAAAAAATTGTACCATTTTTACCTTTTTCAACAGAAAAAAAAAGAACTCTAATAAAAATTTACATTTTTCTGATGAGACAACAAATATATGATTAGTATTGTAATACAATATATTATTGTAAAAAAAATATTACAAAAATCTATAAGTTGTCTGTACAATGGATTAAATAACTTTGTGACTATTTACTTTAATATATAAAACCACTAACTTACAATGACTTTCATTAACATCCGCACATTTTTGTCCAAGATCATCCGCTTTTTTTCTTTTACTGAATAAATATCTGTCCAAAAACATCCGAAGTTTCATCGATGTATAATAACATTCGTGCAACTGCATCTGTAGATTTTTTGCATGTAACTACATTCGAAAATATATATTTTTTTAATAATCCATTATTTTAACCAGATGTAGTTACACATCTGATTTTTTTCGGATGTAAATACATCCGCCAAAAAAAATTATTATAACCATTATTTTAAGCAAAATAAACTTTTTTTTTTTTTAAAGTATTTTATAGACTTCCTACCCAAACCAAACCCTCAGTCGATGTAGCAGCATTCTGTTGCGAGTCAGGCTATTTATCAGTCGATGTAGTAGCACTTATATAATATAATAATTATATATAACTACATCCGGAATTTTTATTTTTTTAATAATGCATTATTTTAACCAGATGTAGTTACATATCTGATTACGGTTGATTACGGATGTAGTTTGATTGATTACGGATGTAGTTACGGATGTAACTACATCCGGGAAAAAAATAATTTAAAAATGCATTATTTTAACCAGATGTAATTACACATCTGATTTTTTTCGGATGTAACTTCGTCCGGAAATTTATTTTATTTAATAATGCATTACATTAGACGGATGTAGTTACACATCGAGAAAAACTCCCGGATGTTATATCTTTCTAAAGATGTTTTTAGACTTCAATGAAATTTCGAATGTTGTTGAACAGATGTTAATTCAGCAAAGAAAAAAAGCGGATGATCTTGGACAAAATTGTGTTTCAGACAAAATGTTATTTCACGGATGTTGTTGGAGAGATGTAGTAATCTTTTCCTGCTACAAAACTCTTTTGAAACTAATTGAGCATCGAATTCCCAATTATACGTATAAATAAGTTTATTTAAAATTACGTTTAAAATTCAATTACTTAGCAACATTACAAATGATGTGGAGACGATAGTCTGAATAAAATCTCTGAAAAAATTAAGTATGAATCATCGGAAATCAAATCACGGTGTAGCGTTTTTAAATTACTGCGTTAAAATTTTATTGCGCGGAAGTCTTCAACCGTTCAAACTTCCTTTGCGGTAGAAGACAGTAAAGCCCGTTCTCCATTCAGAACTTTTTGCACTTTAGAGAAGCGGAAAAGTTCTTTGAGCATGCGCAAACAGTTTTTTTAAACCCGTTCTCCAATCAGAACTTTTTGCGCATGATCAAAGAACTTTTCCGCTCCTCCAAAGCGCAAAAAGTTCTGAATGGAAAACGGGCTTAATATTTTAACGTTATAATTTTACTGCGCTCGTTATAATTTTACTGTCACCAAGTAAAGCAATTTTCCTTTATTGTGCGACAAAACCTAATCTTAAAACAAATTAAATAGCCTAGCGATCCATAAAATCACTTATGTAGAATAAAGAAACTTGTTTTATTACAAACAAGTTTATTTACGTTTTTTTAAGTTGTAAAGAATATCCAACCTTGAGCAAATTATTTATTTTTTTATAACAAACAGCATGTAAAACAACTGATAGACGAACATCATTTTATTTCAGTATAAACATCATTTCATTTACAAAGCTTTTAGTGACAAAACAACATTATAATAATTGTTTTTATTTTCTGAAAGAATACTATGAACTGTTAGTTGGTCAAGTTTCATGGATGCTGGATATTTGAGCCATGCTAGTTTTTGTCCAGTAAAGGACCATACAGCAATGTCAATTCCAATAAGGTTTGCAGTACCAAGGATCTCAACATCTATAGCCCATATACTATCTGTGGCCTTTTGGTTTTCACTTTTGGTAATGTAGTTTTCCACATCATTGCCTAAATATCCAGACAAAAGACTAGAACAAGGCTTTGATACCATAAACATGATTTTAACACGTTGTTAAACGTTGTTGTTGTTGTTGTAGTTAAACGATGTTTAACAACAACAAGTATCTCATATGGACCAAGCCACGAGAAAGTCATTTTTTCACCTTTTCTATTTTCTCTTTTTAGATTTCTCAAATAGTACTTTTTGATGGTGTTGCATGTTTTCTATCATAGTCAATTTTTTGTTTCTTTTGTGCACAAACAATATTGGTCATGGCTTTTTCTTCAAGTCCTCTTTTCATTTGTAAAGCTTTTTGTAGAACTTCTTTATCGTATACAGGATTGCAGTTATCCCAATTGAGTACATCTGTGTACTATACATCAATTCGAAGACAGGGTTATCGGTTATACATATAGTAAAATGGAGAATACCCCCATTGAATCGTGCACTTGAACACGTAAAGCAAAAAGGATTCCATCTAAAACTGAGGCCCAACTTTTAACATTTCTATTTAAGACCTTAACAATTTCTTTTTTGATTGTCTGGCTCTGTCTCTCCAAAAGGCTATACAAATAATTTTTTTTATTGTAGATGATTGTGGATGGTAAGCAGAGGTTACACGTTGCTGAACGCCTGTCATATTATGTAGTGCAATGGATATTGAGTTTACAAATTCACGACCTTGGTCATTAATTTGTATTTGAAAACAACCATGCCTGCAAATAACTCTATAAAGAAAGGCTGCTACTGATACTGTTGTTTTGTCCATAAGAGGTTTATCTTCAGTCCACTTAAAAAATAATCTATAAGAAAAATTACATAGTTGAATCTATTTGATTCAGGTAATTTAAATAAATCTACATCAGCTTGTTTCATAACTTGTTGTTCTACTTTAACAGGTTTTAAAGCAGAAGACACTTTTAGGTTTCTGTTAGAGGTTTTTTGGCATCGCTCACATTGAGCTACATGTTTGGTGATATCCTCCACAATTGAATGCCAAAAAAATCTTGAAGAAATTTGCTTTCTTACAGCATTAATCTCTAGTGGCTAGCTAATGCAACAGCTTTCTCAGAAGTACCAAGACCCTCATAGATTTCTTTAACAATGTTTAATTGTTCTTGCCGATCTATTACCACAATTACCTACAATAAAAAAAATTATTTGTATGAAATTTTTACATTATTTTGAGTTGTTCTAAAGCTATGAATTTTCGAATTTTTGAAAAATGTTGTGTTAATTTAAAACAATGCACAACACAGAATATTGTTTAATTACTTTATTTTATTTAAATAAAACCTTTTAAATCAAATAAAAACTTCTTTTATAAAAACAAGTTTTCCTTACCTCGCCAATACCTTTTTTGCAATACTAGGTACGCCGATATCCGCGTTTTACGGAACCGATAAATGTGTAAAAATTCTGTGCCACGCTTTTTGAACTTCGCATTTGGAGAGGTAGTGCTGTGTTTTGTCGCCTTATTTTTTAGAATTTCATATTAACATAGATATTTTTTAGAAACTAGAATGATTATACTTTATGAATTTGTGTCCTTTGATTACTATTACGTACTTTATAAGTTGATTTCTTGACATACAAAACTTTGTTAACTTTGCACATCCAGCAAATATTGAAGGTATGGACAGCAACTGAGATTGTTTTGCAGCCATTTAAGTTTACACAATTTTTATTTGTCTGCCAAATTTCGTTGAAAAAAATGGGGCCCAGAAAGTCTATTTTGGGGCCAACTTTTGGTACCTATTTTCCTTAATCTGAAATTTTTTGCGGGCGATCGAGGGGTGCAACAAAATCAAATTCTTCAACTCTAAAAAAAAATAAAACTTTTTTGGAAACTTTTTATGTTTATTAAATTTTACTTTTTTTTAGATAAAATGAGTGAAAAGATAAATTGTAAGATTACCAAAATTTTTTTTTTCATTTTCCAATTAACTTATTAGTTATCTTTTATGCAAATAGTATTACTATTTACTTAGATATAATAATACTTAGTAATGCTAAGACTTTCTAATCTTTGTCTAATCTAATAACAGTATTTCTAAGTAATTGTATTGTTTATTTTGTAAGAAGTACATAATGGCAGAAATTTATGTTTCTGTGTATAATTCTATGTATCAAAGTCAGAATCTATATCAATAATTATTGGTATAATATTACTATTAGTACTACTAGTACATATTAAATATAAACTATATATATATATATATATATATATGTAACTCTTGTATAAATAAACTGATATACATTGTTTGAAATAATTCCTTTGTTATGATTGTTTAGATGCACAAGCTATTGAAAGCGTATATGAAAAAAAAAGTTAGTAATTCTATTTTGTTATTTAGTTATTATTTATTTAATTATTTAGTTAGTAATTCTAATTTATTGATTCTATTTTATTCTTAATTCTATTTATATGAAAACTATTTTGTTATTTTATTTATTATATTTTATGTAATCTTATAATAATATAACAATGTAAGTTACAATAAAAATGAAACATAACTGTAAGTTACAATAAAAATGAAACATAACTGTAACCCAGTGGGCATTTCGACGTCGAACGAACGTCGAGCGACGTCGGATCTCGACGTCGGATCGACGTTGGGTTTACGTTGGAAATGGAAATGTTATTTGACGTCGGATAAAATCCTACGCGCTTACCACTACACCACAGGGACATATTAATTTATAAGTTTATTTAGTAATTTATACTTGTAGCTATTTGGGAATTATTACTTTGATAAGAAATAATTTTGTTTAAATATTATATAAATATTAAAACGAATAGTTATATATTATAAAAAATGTATACTCGAAAATGTTAATAGTTAAAAAACTATGCTAGTGCATCATACAAAACCTCATGATGTTTTATCAACCATTATTCAAACTTCTTTCCATTAATAAAAAACACGCTTAGTTCACATATTTATTGAAGAGCGCAATTGCACACATATTGTTGGGTTTGGATTAAATTTTCATCAGCGATGTCTTACGACGTTGTTCCGACGTCGTTTTAAGGACGTTGGATTGACGTCGGAAGACGTCAAAAGACATCGGAGTACGTTTTATCGACGTTGGATCGATGTCAGTACTGCGACGTTTTTTGGACGTCTTTTATAAGATGTCGGAACAACGTCAAAATACATCGAAACGACGTCAGGGGATGTTGTGATAAAGACATCGCCCGACGTCATTTTACTGACATCGGAACAACGTCGGAATAGGTCTTTTGACATCGCTGATGAAAATCGTACGTAAATCCGACGTCGGATTGACGTCGGGTGCCCACTGGGAATGAACTACCAAAATAACAAAAATAAAAATAATAATAACAAAAATAAAAACTAACTTAACAAAAATAAAAATAAAAACCATTATTATAGTTATTACTTTTGTTTTTAAATTATTTTTTCGCAATTGGTTATTTTTATTTTTTTAGACACTATGGAGAATACAATAAGTATGCATTTTATTGTATCGTCTAATACTTTGTTAATAAATAAATTATTGTTTTTCAATCTCAGATTTATTTACTATTAGTTACTTATTTTTTAGACAATTTAGATAACGCTTGTAAGTAAATTTTGTTTTTAGATTTAAAAAATTTAATATGCAATATATATGTAAAATCTAATTTGAATATATAGTTTGTGTATATGAAGCACAAACTTGAAAATTGTATTATTACTAATTTTTTTTATAAATAGGTTTATAATTATTGTTATTCTTTAGTTAAACCTTCATCAAGTCCCTTAAGTAAGATTTTCTCTTTTCAGGTTTTATAATAATAATAAATAATAAAATTTTTTCTTTTATGGTTGTCAATTCAGATGAGAATAACCAATTTTTTATGATATTTTTCTTTTGTTTAGTGATTGTCCCAGCTACAACTACAGATATCGTTAATTTGCTATTCAGGCTTGAAACTCAAAAATATATATAATTTCAATATGTCATTATGGTTTACCTAATAATTTTAATTGTTATCTTTAGCTGTATCTCCAGATTCCAATACTGGTATGATTATATATGAGAATTATTTAAAGTTACTAAATTTATATGCAATTTAACTTATTTCTTTATCTTCTTTTAAATTTTTAGTTGTTGCTTCAACTTCTAACATAGGTAAGGTAACCTGTAATGTTTTAAAATGTTTTGTTTTTTAATGTAAAAAATTTTTTGAAAATTTGAAGTTATAAAATTTTATTGTGATATTCAAATTTTTATATAATTTTTATTTTTTATATTGAGCAGGCTCTTCAGTTGACAATTCTGGTAAGTATTAAGATTATCTGGATAATCTTGATGACTTTTCTAGAAAAATGGTAGTTCAGTAGTTTATTCAGGCAGCACATAAAAAACGAATAAAAACTCGACAGCACATAAAAAACGAATAAAAACATACTGAAATTAGAGCTAAGATTTCTAAAAGACAGACTATAAAAGACAGACTATAAAAGACACTATAAAACGCCAAAAAATTGATGAAAAAGAAAAAAAAAAGTTAGAGCAACAATTAACATTATTAACTATCAGTGAAATTCTGAATTTGTTTAAAAACTCATCTACTAAGCAAATTGATGATTTAAATGATGTTATGAGTGAAAGAATTGTTGGGAGAAAACTTTGCCATGAATGGTATGATTTAGTGATGTACCGATATCACTTTTTTGGCCGATGCCGATACCCATGCCGATGAATGGGAACAGGCCGATGCCGATACCGATGAATTAACTAATTATTAAAAATTTAAAAATATAAAACCATACAACTTTAAATTGGTATTGATAAAAAAATACTTGGACTCATTTCAAAGCCAAATAATTATTTTTAAAAGATATTAGAACAACTCAGTTAAAAAAATATACATTTTAATTTTAACTCTTATTGATAACATATTTTCTAATGCAACTTCTACAAATATTTTTTCCGGTTATTTTCTAAGGTAGGGTAAGGTAAATTAAAAATTGGGATAAATGATATGACATTTATCTCAATTTTTAATATATCTATCCAAGAACCAAAATTAATCCTCGTAAAAGCTGCATTTTTTGTCGGAATTTTAAAAAAATAAATTAAATAAAAAAAAAAAAAATGTAACACCAAAAAAAAATTCAGCTTAGAGTTTTATCCAATCAAAAGTTATCTTTGTTAAGAGACCACAAAAATTGTAAAAGTTAAAGGCCTTAAAGGAAAAATAAATAAAATTAAATGAAACAATAAAACTCAAAACCCAAATTAAAATGCTCCAATAGCATATGTCTCTCCTTCCTCAAGTTCATTTTTATCATTAAGATCTTTTTTAATGGAAAGAAGTTTCTTTCTTCTTTGTTTTACTGAGCTGGTTGACTTTTTCTCAGATTGTTTGACACGACAAATATGTGATAATCTAAAACTTTTTTTAGTGAAATACCCTTTGTCTATGCCCAGTTTATTAAAAACTGGAAGCATTCCTTGAGCACCATCATTGTATGCAACAACAGCAGATGCAACTGCAGTTTTAAAAATATCATTTCCAATGTACACCCTTTTTGGGCACCGTCTCCATAACAAATTGTTCAAATACTCATTGACATTCTGGGTCTCACCGTGTAAACATTTTGTCAGAAGTTCATCACTACTAAGACCTCTGTGAGAAAATATTGGAGCAATAACATCAGAAACAGCTTTATGAAACTTTTTCTTTATATATTTTTGCTCTTGTGATTTTGTCACTTTGATATCTGCACCAAGAATCAGAGCTACGTGGACAGAACTGATGTCGGTTTTCTAAATTTGGCTCATCTGTTGCGTGGTGTAAAACCGCAGCAACAGCCTTTTTCATCCCATACAGGTTGCCACTATTTTGTCGTATGGCCATTCCAACATGGTTTTGAAGAGTGTTCATCATTTTATTAGTTAGCTGACCTTTCCCTCCCCTCAATGCTTTTACCATCGGTCAACTTTTTTCCCTTGTTATCGGAGAGTTTACGCAGTTGTGTTCCAACACGTGTTTGGACATGTCCTATACATTCTCCTTTGGTAATGGTATGACTTGGATATGGATCTGATTTACATATTTCTTCAAAGGATTTTGTATCACCATCCCCAATAAAAAATGTGTATCTTAGACAATGAAGACGTACAGAACGTGATAACATTCTTTTCATTCCTACAACTTCCATAGCTCCAGCACTGCCACTGTGATTTATTGAACATACATAACTTTCTTTCCAGTTATTATATGCATCTACATTCACTTTTTTTAGTTCCCACATTTCACATTGTTTACATTTTTTAGATAACACTTCAGCATCGATGCATTTCCCCTCTATTAGTGAAACTACACCATTCAAGGAAGAGTATCATCTTTTTTGCCAAGCACCGTCACAACTAACTTTAGCATCAATAACAACAGAATCATCTACAGTTTTATTAAAATGTATTTGCTTGGAAGCTTCTTTCATTGACTCTTGTGCTATTTGTATGTATGTATTATGCAACTCACTATTAATTTCATTATATGTTGTTTTGGCCATAGGCGATGGCATATTCATGCAAGAACAAAATGTTTTTATTGCATTAAAACCTTGACCGATCTCTCTAAATGCAGCAATTGTTTGTATATTAATTTCAAAACTTTTTTTTCTTGGAGTAGACTTTAATTCACTGCACTTTTTTGAAGAACAAAATGTTATTTTCCAATTACATTCGGTGCATGAAATGTTGAAAAACTGGGCTTCAGTGTATAGCTTATAAATTGAATAAATAGAGATATTTAAAAGAATAAAAAAAAGCATTTTATGTGAAAACTAGATGTCTTGATAATGTTTTAATTCAGAGATAATTGAAAAAAAAGCGTTGCTAAGGCGGTTGCTATGGCCTAAGAACTTAAATACCTTTATCTAGAAAGGTAAATTTTTTTAAATAAACACGTAGGCTCATAAAAAAACTTTTATATTTATTTTATAATTATTAAAATTTGTTTTTGAAATATCGTTGATTTATTGGGAACTTTTGACTTGCATTTTTAACTTTTATTCCACACTTTGGCTTCAGCTTTTGGCCTTTTTACAAATGGCGGACTACTGTTATAAACAAAAAAAAGCGGCTTCACTTTTTGTCCAACAAAATTCCGCAAGTTAGACTTCTAGTTATATAATATATCATTGAAAAAATATAGTATTTTGAAGGTTCGCTAATAATATTCAAGAAAAACATTTAAAATGGTGCAACGAAACGGGAAACAACAACTTTTTGATAAACTTCATATTAAATAAATGGAGTACTACAAGAATGAACGGAATTATGATATATAATGAAACTTTGAATTTTAGTTATTTAGAAAACAATTTTTTTGATTTTTTAAAAAATGTTTTAGTTGTCTTTTTAATCAAATGTCGTGTTATTACTTGAAGCAAGAAAAGAAGCTTACTAACATATGCTTTTAAAATCAAGTGGTTCTATTTAATTAACCGAGATTTAATAAACCTTTTGCTGAATAATTGCAATTACTAATGGTTCAAACTTTGCAGTATATCCCTAAAACAATTTATTTTTTGATTTTGTAATAAAAATCATTTCTGTTAATTTTGTCGTTTTTTGTCCAGTGAAACTTTTTATTGTCGGTTACAAGCATACTCCCGGAGACGACCTGAAATTGCTTTGATGTTTGCGGCTCGTTGAACTCCATCTATTTTATTCTTCCATGTTGTAACTAAAATGAAAAACACAAAGTCATATTTATAAAAAAAAAATTAATTGTATAACAAACTGCAACGTTTTTAAAAGGCACGGCTGTTGATTTAAATGCAAATGTTTTAGATTAGATTGGACTATTTGATAAATATAAAATAATTACACTCTAAATTATATTAATAAAAAATTAAATTAATACACTCTAAATTATTAACTTTTTTTATTTTGTGTAATAAATTATATATTATATATATTATAATTACATTAATATATTAGGGAAAGGTTGCCTATGATGAGCATGATAACAGTGTATTGTTTTTTGCAGCCGAATTATTATAATGTTTATATTTATATTTACTTATATTTATTTTTGCAGATTATCATAATTTAGTCTTTCCTCTTAAAGAATATAAATGAATTGTTCATTAAAAAAAATCTTTATACCCAAACTTGCGTTATTTTCAACCCATTCAATCATCTCATCTTAGGAAACTGATTTCCTAAGATGAGTTTTTTTTTTAATGGAACTCAAAAAAACTCAAAATAACAAAAAAATAATGACAAAAAAATTAAATAAAATTGTATAAATTTTATTTAATTTTTTTAAGAAAAGAAATTTCAAGGACAGCTACAGTTATTAGGGTAATAACATTCTGAAGATGTTATTACTTTATTCATAACATTCTAAAGATGTTATTACTCTAACGTTTGAGTATTCTAAAAAAAATGAAATTACCTTGAGCTATTCTCATGAATTTTTTTTTTTTTTTAATTCTAGGTGCCACAAGAGAGTCCTAACGGTCTTGTCACAGAGCACCGCGGAAGTGGAGAGTTCACGCCTCCTTCCCTACCGTGACGCGAAACACGCCCAAAGCTCTCTAACCACTGCGACACGGCCGCACCACAAATAGTTTATAAAAAATTTATAGAGAGCTAATTTATATTATAATAGAGCTAGAAGATTGTAATGGAATTTAAGAAGAATTTAGTTTGTTTATTTTTATAATACGCTTTTAATTTAATGTAAATATATATATTTTTTAATTTTAGCGCTGTTTTGTTTATTTTTCATTAATTTTTTATTTTTTTATTTATTGTTTATTATTATTGTTAATATTATTGTTACTATTATTGTTATAATAATAATAATAATAATAATAATAATAATAATAATAATAATAATAATAATAATAATAATAATAATAATAATAATAATAGCAATAATAATAATAATAATAATAATTATTATTATTATTATTATTATTATTATTATTATTATTATTATTATTATTATTATTATTATTATTATTATTATAAACCTACATAAACTTATTAACTTACATTACTAAGTATAAACTTATTAATTTATTATTATATTTTTCACTTATTATAAACTAGAATATTTTACTTATAATTATTCATAATTTTTTATTATTTTAATATAATTTATTTTATTTTAACTTATTTTTAATATATATTAACGTTCCCTAACTTTATTAATAATTTTATTTTCATTATTTATTTTAATTGTTAAATAAATATTATTTTTATTTTATTATTTGATTAATTGAATTGTATATATTATTATTACTTTTAGTATTATTACCTTAATTGCTATTCATATTATTGTTTATTTCCTTATTTCATTTTATTCGATCAATCATTTCATTTTATAAACTTTACTACTTAAATAATGTGTACTCACTGCAAAGATTGTCTCAAGAAAATTTATACAAACCATTACTACCTTTAATATAATCATTGCCTAAACCTTTATTATAAAATTTGCTGTCATCTGAATGATATGGAGTTTAGGATATTGAAAAACTCTAAAACAGCTTGGTTCTGTATTTCATATAAAAAATATATTTTTTCATTTAGTTATTTATCTGATAAGGAGCTGCGTCTTCAAATGATAAATGAGAAAGTGATTCACATTAGTGAACTCTAAAACAAAATTTCATCTTTTCCAAACACATAGATTCTAATCTTTATAATGAGCTAAATGACTTTATTTTCCATCAACTTAATAACAACAATGACAATGACTTAAACCTAGACGAAAACCCTATAAATTGTAAATATA